ATATTAAATTATGTGAAAATTTTTCTTTCACTATATGTATACGGTGGGTTAAAAAGGTATTCGCATATCCTTTAAAACAGAAAAACCTTTTTGAAATTCGACCAAGTGACTTGAGTTTTGTTGGGAAGTTAGAAGGATTAGTTTACTAATGTTAATAAATGTTGAAAAAGTAGCAATTGGTCGGACTCGCGAAGATAATTCCAAATCTCTTTACATTATGCATTATAATTCCATTGTTATTATTACAATATCCGAATGAACGTGTCAATAACACTGAATTTAAATATGATCTAACGCACATTATTTTTAACTCAAGCCCCTGATCATAACGAGCCTCACTCTATTAACAATAATCAAACTTCTTTCTTTGTCCTACAAAAGAAAATTTCCAGATAAGCTTATGATGGTAAAGTCGCCATTATTTCTTACGGAAAGTCTAAATGTTCACCGTCGTTTATGCGTTCATTCAGTCTGTCCAAAGCGTGTCACTCTCAAAGAAGACCAGACAACATCCGTCTCGCAAAAGACAGCTGATAATCGGAACACAGGGGGATTTAGAAATTTGTCTCGATTAAAATCGGTACGACACGCTCGTTTCGGTTTGTCTCACAGGCAAACAAACGACTGTTCCCCTCTCCCCCTCACGGATAATTTATGAGAATTCCGTGAAACCAGCGTTACCATTGTCCCGCAGCCGTTCTTTAACGTTATTATACGCGGTCCCGGGGCGCGAAAACTTCTGCCACTTCGATGACGCACGTAGCCAGGGGAGGTCGTGGGTTAACGCTGCGCCAACCAGAATCTCGAGTGGCTCCGGTTACTCGAACTCTCGTTTAACTTTCGGCGAGAGTCGAGTCACGCGAGTGATTCGCGGCACATTTCCACCTTTGCCCCTATTAGACAACACGGAGATCCCAACCCGAAAGAGATCCTGTTTTAAAACGCAAATCCTGGCTCTGGCGACTAATTGGGCTCATTCAGTTAGGACCAACATGTACCCTGTAGATAAGATAGACCACCTAATAGATACTATGTACATTTTGTACCACCTGCTAATCGATGAATTGTGATTAAAGGGCAATTTATATAATTCTTCATGGGAAAGGAGATGATTAATACCGACACAGTGAGATAATTAACTCAGGGGATCCATGAACTAGAATTATAGTGATCAACAAACTGTACCATGGCAGTAGAAAAATAGTACTTAACCCAGATCTCCACCTAGTGGGTGGACAAAGCCGAAGCCATTGTAAATTAGTCGTTTTTTTACAACTAGTGTTGATAATTGTGTATATACAGTATAACCTCGATTATCGGAACGAACAGAGAGACAAATGTGTTCGGATAATAGAACAATTTTTTCGACCAGTTTGATAGTTCAACAGTTATGATTTATTGAACCAAATGTTGTCACTATACTTCAAGCAGCTGTAAAATCAACAATTTAAAAAATTTGTTTAAATCCTACGAGAGACATTCACTAAATACTACAACATATCCCAGTTTAACGAAAATCTGAGATGTTACTCCATAATGGAATGGCCCTATATCATCACCATTGACCGCGCCGAGAAGCACGAACAACAAAAACACCAAGAGAAATAAATATTAACCGGACCACAATGGGCGGTAATTGAATCATGAATAATTTAACGATCGTTTCTCCAATATTTACACGTATTCGTGTCGCGTGGGAGAAGGGCCTTGGATCGATCCGATCCCGTTTAAAAATCTAGACGTCGCGGGAGCCGTAGGTGTGTACGGGAACGTTAATGGGCCACGGGGCCGTTAATAAATCACCGTGGCGGTGGTGTGTGGGCCTCGTCAACGTTAAATCGGCGGCTAATTGCCACGGCCGAGAATTTAGTTTAATTCGGTTCAGCCCGGCGACCGGCCGGCCAAGTGGTCGGTGTTTTCAGCGATCCCCCAAGAGGGACGGGATTCCTAAACCACCACCGCCTACCCGCAACTGTGTATTAAGCCACTAAATACTTCAGCAACCCGTTATTCCATGTCGCGTCAGGAATACGCACACCCACCCTCCAATTAAATTCTATTATCCACCTTCCGGCAGATTTGACGGTTAATCTTGCGATCATTGGACCAGCCAAAGCGGATCAATCGCTGCACGCAAAACGAGCGGTGTTTAACGCGTGAACGTCGGTTATATTATTCTTGTAATTGATGGTGAACGGATTATAATGCGACTGGAGACCTTTGGCATAATTCAAAAGAGAAATCGAAGGGTTCGTTTCGAAACCAACGGTGGAAATATTTGAAAATTGCTTGAAGTAACTGGACAATTTTATTTCATTCCTTGATTATAATAATAGAAGTTCTGTTACTGAACTTTTTTATGGTGTAAAGACAGTCCATCGAATCTGAGTAAATATAATTAAAAGAAGAAGCCTGTCGTCATAGAAATAGATTTGCGAGTCACTGTATTCTGGACGATCACTTCGAACACTTGCACGGAATACTCCATAGCAATACTATCTAAACAGCTGTCCAACAAACACGGAGATTAATCCTCCGATCCATCTCCTCCTAAATCATGTAGGAGCTAATGTCTCCCGCCTCAAAGAGACGTTACAACCATTTGCGCGACATATTCCCGGCAGAATCCTACTGAACCACCAATTACGTAATTAATCGTACAATCTAAATCCTGTTCTAAGCGATACAAGAATTAATTCCGCCTGTGCCAGACGGGTACAGAGCCCCTTTATCGAAACGTTTATTACAATATCGAAACCAAACGAAATCCTAATCTAGTTATTCCATTCATAAGTCGCTCCTTTCTCATCGCGTAAATTCCACTCTTTAAAAGAGCAACGTATCCTCCTAATTACCCGCGGGAAGACAAATGATCGTCGAGAAGAACAGTACACGCGGAAAGGGAACGAAACAACGGGGTTTTATGGAACGGTGGGCACGCGTTCATCAAGCAACCGTACCGTCCGCCATTATGGGGGCTTTCACAACGGGCACAACATCGAGGAAGAATGATCGGGCAGGCTCGGTGGTACGTATATGTATATGTAGCCATCCGTGTGCGCAGGGTTCTACAGAGTGTTCCAAAAAAATGGGACAATCCACAACGTGCATATTCCTCGTGCAAATACGAGTCGAAAAGTCCTTTACCGTTTTGCAATCCGAAGCTCTATTTCCGAGATATTAGCAGTTAAACGAACTCCAATCAGCTGAGCGGTGGGCCACACGTACGCGCAGATACAGTCAAGAAGCAGACGCCAGTGGCTTGGGTCGTGCGCTTCTTGACTCTGCTGCGCGTACGTGTGACCCACCGCTCAGCTGTTTGGAGTTAGTGTAACCAATAATATCTCGAAAATGGAGCTTCAGATTACAAAACGGTAAAGGACTTTTCGATTTGTATTTGCATGTGGAATATGCATGTTATGGATCGCCCTATCTTTTTGGGACACCCTGTATATACGTACGAGGAAAACGTACGCGCCACTCGTCGTGTATCGGGCCAGGAAGTTTCAAAACTGCTACTGTGACGCACGATCGATGGATCCGTCTGGCGACTCGGGCGAACACTTTCACCGTACGGACACGCGCGATGTACCGGAAATTGAAAAAGTCCACGTCGATTAGTCCAATTGCTCCGAAGACTTTTCTCCTGTTTCCAATCCCGCGCCCATCCCCCTCTCCTCGACCAATAGAGAAATTTCAGGGATACTTTCACAGCAGAAATATACACGATTTAAATCGTTTTCCGAACATTTTGATCCGGGGTTAAAAACGGGATATTTTTTTTATATTCAGCGTTTTTGAAATTTGAGATTTTATCAAGGACAGCTTTGATCTTGTATTTGTACGTCCTCCTTTTCATTAACATTTATCCAACTTTTACGAGACTTCCAGCTCGATCGATGTCCAGATGAAAGGCGAAAAGCACTCGATTTTGATTCGTGACCGGAACACGGTATCCTCGCAAAGATCGTGTAATTCGAATTTCCAAAGCAGAGGAGAGAGCTTTGGCGATATTAAAAATCTACATCGTCGATGATCGCGACGTCTGTCGAAGTCGTTCCCACATCCTTTCATCCCGAGTCGATGAAAATATCCGTTTTTTTTTTCTTCCATAAAAAGGCATGCAAATATTAGGATTACCGTGGGCATACATGAATTTTAAGCGCTCCCAACGACCTCTCGGGTTGCCTCTTCTCTCCGTGGAGATGTCGGGGTTAATAACATTTCGTCGGACCGCGGGATTTTCCGTCCGAGGGAACGTGCAGTGATCTTGAACGATATCGCGAGTGAACAATTTTATTTTACTCGGATTGAGATATAAGATGGAATGTAGTCGTATCGCAAATAAGATCTTGGAACTGGTAAATATGAAATAAATATATAAGGACAATTGAAGACTGGTGCAAAAAACGATCGTCTCTATTTTTGGCTATTTTTAGATTGAACGTATTTTATTGATCAAAAAGATCTATCGTTTAGTGTGGCCGACAATTAAAAGCGTTTAATATTATGGTTACTGTATAGAAATAATGAAAACTTTCTACATACTAATTTATCCTTTATACATCAATACAAACTTAATAAATTATTCACATTACGTACTTGTGTGGTACAAAAATCAATCATCTTCATAAGATAATAAATTTTATAAAAAGATTAATTTGAAAGAAAGGTGAAAAACAATATAAGATATGACTTATATAAGTACAACAAACTATGAATAAAAAGAAGAGAAAGAACGGAATTTCTAATTTTTGGCAAAGATTTTTTACTTCCTGAAATGAAGGCCTTGATTAAGAAATCGTACAAAAAATATAAAATTTCTACATAATAAAATATTCCTTTTAATAATTTCAATCACAATCGTCAGACAATATTTCGTACGAAACTCAGGGTATACTTCGGCCGTCATTACGTAACATAATGGCGTGCTGCCGCCAAACGAGACCGTCTCTGTTATCGCGTCTCAATTGATTCTATTTTTTTTTTTCCATTTCCAGATGGGTAGCCGGCGAATGGAGTATGTGCAGCGCGAGCTGCGGCGGTGGATCCAGGACCAGAGCCATTTTCTGCACGGAGGAGAACGGCAATGAGACTACAAAGGTAAATAAGGGGTGGGGTGGGTCGGAATAGAGATAATTTAAATACGCGAGAAATCCCTTTATATTAAATTCCGGGATTTCGGCCGGGATCCCGGACCCCATTTCCCGTGCTTTCCGTGAAAAACTCACCGCCGCGGTGTTTCCCAACTCGGCGGCGTGTAAGGAGGACGAGAAAGAGAAGACAAGGAAAGAAAAAATAATTTCCCCCTTATATATCGTCCGTGTTTCATTTTATCGTCCCGTACGAAGATTCGACAAGATTCTCCCCACCGAAAGCTTATATCTTTATTCGTCACGCCTGGAGGATTTATTGCCGCGGACCGTACTTGGACGACGATCACAGGACACGATAACGAGAATCTAGTCGAAATTCCTTCTCCTTTTAACGCAATATACAGGGTTATTACAAATGATTCATCAGGTTTTAACACTTGACTAAAACTTGGACAATTTCTATTTCTTTGCATGTTAATATTCATTATTTTACGTGTAATAGGTACTTCGTGAAATATAGTTTTTGTAAAACCCAATGAATGTACTAACCCTGTATTTAAGTTCGCGACCCGGTTTCGGACTTTTTACAGTTTATAATCACCGTTGTGGCTCGACCAGCCACGTTTGCCTAAGATCTTCGACGAGTTCGTCCCCTTCCCCTGTGGGTTACACAGCGTATAAATAGGTTAATAATTTCCTTCATTTTTGAGGATTCACAACGTGCTCAGCCACTAGAATTGTCGTACAGATATACACGTCCAGCCATCCATCCATTTCGGTGCCTACGACAGCCTCGGAAAAGCCCACGAACCCTAACCCAGTTCGGTTCGTTTAAACTGGAAGGGCCGCTCGTGGTTCTCTGTCAACCACCGTAAAATCCTCTGATCCGAGACTCGGCGAGCGCCTAGAGTACACACACATATAGATCTAAAATATATATGGTAGGACGTACCTGTGCACCGCGAGGATTTCCATCTCCCTGACTTCGGTCTAGCTTTGCCTCGAAAAACGGTTAGATGACTCTCCGGACGGTAATAGAGGGTGTAATACGTGTAATAATGTTCCGCGAGCCGTACGATTATTAGATGACTATCAGATAAATTAATGTTCCTGTAAAATGTGAGACCTCCGAAAGACTCTTGATAGTGAAGTTTTATGGTTAGGTACAGCTCGTCGTGAAGATAACAAAGTTAAACTGTCTTCTAATAATTATTCATTGTGAATGTAGATATTTGAAACGGTACGCATAATTTCATTAATTATATCATAAAAAGATATAGATAAATTTGTTTTTTTTTTCCGAAGCCGAGTCTATGCTTAGCTTCTGTTCACTCTGTTTTGATTGGTTCTAGAGGAATCCCCTCCAGTGGTGGGGATAACACCGGTGCTCGTGTCGCATTCATGAACGAATTACTGTACTTTGGACGATTTTTAAAATTTTATTAGTCAAGCAATGGGTTAATATTAAACCCTCCCCCCCTGGACGAACCACTCGAGGCAAAGATGAATCATGTGTAAGCTTTACATTCTTGTTGTTACAGCTGCCCGACCACAAGTGCAGCGGCGTACACAAGCCCCGCAACCAGGAGACTTGTAACACCATCTCCTGCCCCATGTGGGAGACCAATAAATGGAGCGAGGTGAGTAAAGGGGGAATCTCGGGCTGCCGGAACTGAGGAATCCGTACGCGCGCGCCATGAACATGCAAAACGGGGTTCGGGAGGTTACACGGGTACAGACACGCGAGAGTCATTCGGCTGACGGAGGAAGAAATTTAGGGCTTTACGAGACGCCACCGGGGAAAGGAGTATTTATTGCCGTCTGGTGTGACGGTCCCTCGACCGTGGGGGTTAAGGGCGGCCACATTTATTATCGTTTCAGAGATGAATCCACTAGTCGCTGGATCGTAGGAATCGCGAGTGCTCATTTCTGACCTTTATCACTCGAGGAAAATTCGTCCCTCACACCGTCTTAATGAAACGTCCGATGAATTGTTTTTCTTTCGTCCATCTGATAGGGATCCTATCCTTCACCGAAGGATAATCTTGTACACGACGAAGATTGCATCTTCTGCTCGAAGATTGATAACTTCTTTTTTTTTTTTTTGAGACCACGTGTCCGGGTCACGCGATAGAGCCCCGTTTCGCGCGGTATAAACACGAAACGGTATAATTCCTATTCCGGACGGGGTTACCGGTGTTATACGAGTTAGGAACGAACCTTTTGTCTCGTTGAAAGGGCGTTAACGGGTCCCAACGACGAGGCCAGATGAACGTGTAACGTTTCTCTATCCGGTTATGTCTGTCTATTCGTATCAGGAAATCCGATTTCCTCCGGGAACAGTAAACAGGTCGGGGCTGATTGTTGCAAAGGGAAATGAAACTCGTTCTGCAATTTGCTTTGTGCGAGCCGGTTGTTTTGTTATCGCGTTCCGACCGGGGCTAACGTTCGACCAGCCACACGAGGTTGCGTCCAATTCTCTTGTTTCTTCCGTAATCGTTCGTGAATTTTTTTTCACGCCGGGGACACGGATCGTCGGATACGAAATTTGTCATTTTACGCGAGACTTGCAAGGTGAAAGGACAAGACGATCTAAAGTGTTTCACTGTGCTTACCATAGACGTATAGTAACGAAACTGCGCATTCGGCTGAAAGGCAGTTAAATATTAGAAAGAAATAGCCTGCTTTAGGTCATGTTGGAAGGATATACATAAGGTGTATATCCTCACATCATGATTTAGGTCACAATTCTGCTTTCATTTGACATTCACGCGTCGTTAGAAAAAAATAGATTGGTGACCGTACAGCAGCTAAGTTTTTCTAATTTTTGTGAACTTGTCGAAGAACTACTTCCTCACCGATTTCGATGATTTTTAAATATATTGCAGAAATCAACATTCTGAGCAACGTTTTCTTTTCACGAAAATGTCGGTCGACCCTAATTTCTGAGATATTCGTACAAAACTGTTGGTACCATTACTTTCCCTTTTTGGGTGCGTAGTTAAGACTGGATGGTGTGTGGGGAGATATTGAGTCCGTGGTTAGCACAACGTGGTGACTTGGTTAACACGTTTGTTCATTGCATTCCATTTCTACTTATTTCCAGCATAGATATGTATGACAAATTTTTTTTGTTAATAACGTTTTAAGAAACAACGACCAACGGCTAAAACCCTCTAAAGGTCACTTAAGTGGATGACCTGAACAACATATGACAAGGTCAAGATCATCGGAGATGGGTCTCCTAAACAGCAGTGCTATATTCACTATTGGTACCGACAGTTTTTTACGAAAATCTCGGAAATTAGGGCCAGCCGATATTTTCATGAAAGGAAAAAGTTGTTCAGAGTGTTGATATCTACAATATATTAAAAAATCATCGAAATCGGTGAGGAAAAAATTCTTCCACAAGTTGACTCTACTTTTTAACACGGAAGATGTAAGATATTCAGATGTCTAGGTATTATACGTTTATGGTACTTATACGACCAATGAATGATAATATTGGACGGATAAGGCGTGCGCCATTTTGCTTTCCACGGAACATTCCAAGAGAGTAGTGTGCAGGAGCACGGAGGCTTCTGTTCCGACATTTTCTTCCTCTGTTCGCGAAACGTCCTGATATCGAGTCAGACACGGAGTTATTGACGTTGAAGAAAATTTGAACTGACGCGCGCCGCAAAGATCGACCAAAGGGGTCGAACATCGGTTACGCATACGAAACTTCGATGCTTCGGGGCGAACTTTAAGAATTGCGTAATTCCGCGAGCTGTTCGTGTCCCGTGGAATGGAGCAAGTTTTGAAGTTGAAGTGTTCAAAATGGAAGGAACTTCTCGCTACTTTTAATGCAGCCGGAACAAAACTGGCGTACTGTAAAGAAAACAGGAACAGGATGTTTCATAAACTTCTGTAGAGATTTCGTGTAATCACCGTGTAGAGGAGACCACCGACAATCTTAACAATTTGTCTTCTTGAGTCTGTAACTTCTGAATTTTGTAGAATTTTTTAAAAATTCGTGCAAGATGACAAGCCTTGATTATTGGACAATACGGTCAAATTTAAAAACGTTGGAATATGTTGCACCAGTTTTTTTAAATAAGACTTTCTTTAAAATGACTCATTTGTTAATTTTGTCCCTAAACATAGGGACGATTGGAACACTATCTAATTTGAAAAAAAAAACAATTAATAGAAGAGATGCTTCTAAATGATACTTTTATTTATTTTATAGATAGACATAAACATAAATGTAGTTTACGGAATCGAAACAAGAAGGTACATAATTTAAAGGAATAATACTAGCTTACTTTTTGGAGTATCATTTCAATTTCAATAGGATAGTTTTATTAGGAAAACCGCTTACTGCTGCGCGTTGGCAGCAACTAAGGTGGAGGGCAGATGGAATTGGTGTATAAAAATGAAAGGAGACAATTGTTGGTCGATTAGTATTTATTTTATGACAATTGTTACATTCGTCCCGTGATACGTTTACAAATTTCGCCCTTCCTAAGGTTTTTTGGTTCTTGTTCGACAACTAATCTACATTACAGTCTGACAAAAATTGTATAGTCACTTCGGAACCGTAATTACGAACCCCTATTACCACTTTTTCATAAAAGTTTATACAAACAAAATCAAAAATGTAAATGCAAGAAAGTGCATCTTTAACTTTTCAAAAAAATTGTTCCCAATGTTGGTCCCCCTTAGATTTAATTCTAGAACAGTTTTTGTTGATTGAAAAAAATCATCTAGTTGACTTTTATATGTTTACGAAATGTTTTATTTATGAATTTGAAAATAATGTTTTCCTTGAGTAAAACTAAAACAAAAACTAAACAATAAGATCGTATGCAGTAATCGCACAGAGACTTCTTTGTTTAACGTGTAGCTATGCGAAATTTCATACACCTACGGACCGATTCGGATGATTTTTCATCTCCTGCACGCGAACCACGGGCGCACAGAACTAAGAGAATCCAGTGATTAATCTCCAGGCGACCTAATAGAAGCAATCTCGCGTCCTTTTACGGGTTCGGGGTGGTCGGCGTGCTCTTAATTCGCTCAAACGTTCTCGCCCCCGCTCTAACGACATTAACGCCTCTCGAGAGCGTCGCCGGAACTGGGACGAGCTCAAAGGACCTTCCGTATTCGGCGTGGCCCTGGCGAAAATTTCGTTTGAAATCGGATTTTCTCGAAAACCGAGGAATTCGTGCAAGCATAACCGCTGCTAGTGGATCCACCGATAATCGGGAAACGGGCAAAAAGCGAGGACACACACGTCTCAGCTCGTCAAGACGGAGGATAGATTTTCAGCGTGAAAACGCGCGCACGATTCGATGCGTGTCTGAGCTTCCAGCGAAAAATGCTCGCGGTTACACTTGTTTCACCGTCGTATATTCCTAAAGTGCTCGCGCGAAATTTCTCTGCTCGTCTTCCACGGTCCTCTTTCTCTTTCTACCCTCTTTGAAGACGTAACGGGCCGCGTCAACCACCGACATCAAACAGGACAATTTTGTCGTCAAACAACCCCCCGCGTCGCCGCCTCGTTCCAGGGACGCGCGCATCTTCTTGGACGTTCTTTCGCAGAAAAAAAGAGACACGACACACCTCTTCGTCTGCGATGAAAGGACGAAAAAACGTGTGGTCCTCGAGCAACGCTTCTGGTTCCAAGCGGCAACACGAGGAGGATGAGGACGCGCGCGTATACGAGACGAGGGGTTGCTGGAGCTTTTTGCATAATTTAACGGAATTCGCGAGTGAAAGGGGAAATATTACTTCACGGTCTGATTCGAATTATGAAAGAAATGAATTGGTGTGGTTCATTGTTTCGTGTTAACCTTTAAGCGCCGATTAAAATTGTAGCATTGCTTTTCTTTGAATTAAACTTGGTCTGAGGTAAACTCGAGTTAAGGGAATACACTCACGTGTCGCTTTATCATCATACAATTTAAACTAGTGGTTCCAAATTGATTTACATGCTTGTCTGATAAAGAATATAAGTTGTTAATTAAAATCTGAGTTTGGGTTAAATTGACCCGTACAGTGCAACAGGGTTAACGGATCAGGGAGGTTCTGTCAGTACCGAACAATAATATATAACAATTCTTTTTAACAGATTCGTGATTAGTAAAGTTTTGTTAAAATTTGCTTCGTGAGTGGCGATGTCAATGATACGAGACTAGTAAATATTCACTGAAACAAGGCCAGTAATATGCAAATGTAAAAAAGAATATTGTTACCTGAGAAATAATCAATAAACAATGCACGTGCCTGAATACGAGATTTCCCGTTACTAGTCGTCAATATCTTAATACCTTCAATTCACTATAGAAAATACACGAATAAGCAAAGTACATATTACAAAGAACCATTAGGATATTGATCGATCAAAGCCGACAAAATCTTCCCACTCCATCGAGAACAGGGTGACACTAATGTTATCATACTTCAAAGAAGTCACAGAACAGTTTCCTCTTAATTGAAACGCTAGAATTTCCCAAGGATGTTATACCTCTTCGCTCCCCATTTCATCGCCACGATCGGTAAACAAGGAGTCGCAAAATACGTAGCTCAAAGGCGGCGACGAGGAACGCACGCGGAAAAGAAGGACTCGCAGGATCTTGCGATGAGAGAGGCAATT